ATTCAGCTCAAAGGATTCCATACTGGCAGTGAGATACAATTACGTCTTACATTGAATTACTAAATATTACCCATGGGAGAGAAAGATGTAGATGGGGGCCTAAAGGTTTTGGTGGCATCTACCCATGTTGTTGTATGCCTTCAAGTCATTTCCAACTTACAGCGACTGTAAGGCAAACCTATCACAAGGTTTTCTGGGGCTGAGAGTGTGTGACGTGCCCAAGGTCACCCAGGGAGTTTCCATGGCCGAGCAGGGAATCGAATCCTGATCTCCAGAGTCGTAATCCAACACTCAAACCACTACACCACGCTAGCTCAGTCCCATGTAGTTCCCTTCTTTTATTCTATCCAGTGACCCATTGCATCCGATTTGGGCCTTCTATTACTTAAAGACAAATGGCCCTAAGTCTCAATAGCAGTCATCCAACCAGAGATAAAAGGCCTATACCAATATAACAATTCTAGGAACAAACTGCAAAATTAGTTATTCGGAAACCAGGGTTCAAATACCAAGCTTTGAGGTAAATGGAAGTACCATATTCTAGTGTTTATAATAATTGCCTAAAAGTAAGCATTAGCTATCACAAGAGATTTCTGATGGGGGTTCTTCATCTTAATGGTGTTTCATCAGAGAAACAATGTAGTTTTGAAACTTTGCTGTGAAAATAGATGGCTGTCTAGGTGTCTTTTTGTGGTGGGGGGGAATGGGGTGTTTATTTCGTAAAAATAACTTTTTTCAGGACAGAAATAATTCTTTTTTAAAAAGAAAAATTGTGTACCATCTGTTTTAGTCTTGTGATGTCACTACTTGTGCTTGTCATTAATTTTTCTAGTCACTATGGATTCTAATACTTTAAATTATTAAATTTATTCTTCATGAGTTATCTTTTTTTAAAAAAAAAAAAGACAGTTTTGACACACATATCCTATAAAACTGATCTCATGCTTAACTTCGATATTTTTAAAAGAAATTGCTGTTAATAAATGTGATACGTACCTAAAAGCAAAGCTTTTTATATCTGTATTATTAAATACCACAACCTGGAGCAGGCTGCAATGTGACTTTATTAGGATGATAGTAAGGAAACAATTATAGTCTGCGTTTTGGGCGTTCTGGCACACTTTGTGTTGTGTTTTTGTTGTGTGCCTTCAAGTTGTTTTTCCAACTTATGGTGACCCTAAGGCAAGTTACCATGGGGGGGGGGGTTCTTGGCAAGATTTGTTCAGAAGAGGTTTGCCTTTGCCTTCCTCTGAGGCTGATATATTAATTGGTTAATTAATTAATTAGGCTAGAATCCTGTTGGAATTAGAATTGGGCAGTTCAGTAATACAGTATCCATATTCAATTAAGGGCTGCTGTTACATTACTAAGCAGGGAATCCAGCAAAGTGACTACAATAGTGTGCATTGGGACCCATACACAATGAAACCTATGTGCAATGGGACCAAGGCACATTGAGACCATTGTGCCTTGACACATCAGCTTCAAATGCTAATGTGCATTTGCAGATTCTGATGTGCATCAAGGAACTCTTGCCTGTGTCCTGCTGTGCATCTTTGCAATTCATTGACAGGATTTCTCAGCAATTCCACCGTGTCGCTAAGTATACATGAAGTTGCATAACATACATCTATGCTAGAAGATACCTGCTTTTATTTATTTAGACATAGATATTGGTTAAGATTCTGCATAAAGTGTATATAGCATAATGATGAGCAGTTCTCTGCCTTCTACCCCAGGCAGCTGTTGAACCCCATGAGATATTGCAATAATAATAATAATAATAATAATGATGATGATGATGATGATGATGATGATGATGATGATGTATATCCCACCCCTCTGCAGAGCAATCATGGACTATGACTATGGCCATTTAATAAATGGGGAATGGGGAGGGTGGGATGGAGATGGCCAAGCAGCAGGATTTGGGCTATTTTGGCTGCAGTTATCTAGCCAGAGGAAAGAAAATGTTGCCTGGCTTGACAGCAGTGCATGCAAAAAGGATCTAGGAATATTATTAAACCACAAGCTGAACATGAGTCAGCAATGCAATGCAGCAGATAGAAAGCCAATGCAATTCTAGGCTGCATCAACAGAGGTATAGTGTCTAGATCGAGGGAAGTAATAGTGCCACTCTATTCTGCTTTGGTCAGGCCTCACCTAGAATACTGTGTCAACTTCTGAGCAACACAATTCAAGATGATGTTGAGAAGCTGGAGTGTGTCCAAAGGAGGGTGACCAAGATGCTGAAAGGTCTGGAAACCATGCCCCATGAGGAGCGACTAAGGGAGCAGGGCATGTTTACCCTGGAGAAGAGAAGGTTAAGAGGTAGTATATGATAGCCCTGTTTAAGTATTTGAAGGGGTGTCATATGGAAGAATGAGCGAATGAGTGTGACTTCTTATTTGACTATTTCACGTTAATTAATATGCTAATACGTGAACTTTCAAAACATCAATGGAACAGACTCTCTCAGAGAGTGGTGGAGTCTCCTTCTTTTGAGGTCCTTAAACAGTGGCTTGATGGACATCTGTCAGGGATGCTTTGATTTTGAGTTCCTGCATGGCAGAAGGGAGTTGGACTGGATGGTCCTTGGGGTCTCTTCCAACTCTATGATCCTATGATTCTATGATCATTTTAAAGGTACTAAAACCAGTGAGTAATAAATTGTAAATTGTAAGTAAATAAATTGTAAGTAAAAGGAAAGGTGCATTGTTACTCCCACAATACCTTTAGCTGTTTGAAACAATTCAATTCACAACATTCTAAAGGGTTGTTGGGAAACTACTTTAGGAGTAGCAAAATAATATTTAATTGGCTGGTTTCAAGCTCCATCTAACGTGGCAGTCATTTCAAGTCCTTTCTAGCCCAACTAAGTAATCATGGGGTGATGACCACAGGTCTCAAGGAGGGCACTTGCTTTCCCTACTAGCATGGTTGGTTCCTCCCTCTCTTTCCCATTTTCATATACATGTGGGCAGCAAGGGGAGAAGGCAGGGGATCAAAGTGTTGCCTGAATAACTTGCATAATGCAAAGAGGAAAGCTAAATAAAGATATGGGAAGTGATCTTGTCTTCTGTTGCTCTGGAGAGTAGATCCTGAACCAACGGATTCAAATTTTTAAAAAGGAGATGCCAACGAAACATTAGAAGAAAGTCAGTGTGATGTAGTGGTTTGCGCGTTGGACTATGGCTATGACTCTGGGGATCAGGGATCGATTCTCATGCTCAGCCATGGAAACTCACCGGGTGACCTTGAGTGAATCACACACTCTCAGCCCCAGAAACCCCTGTAATAGGTGCCTTAAAAGGTAAAGGCTTCCCCTTTGACAAGGTTGTCAAGTCATGTCCAATTGTAGGGGTTGGTGCTCATACTAAGCCAAAGACCCAGCGTTGTCACAGATGAGTCCAGCGATCATATGGCCAGCATGATTGCACAGAATGCTTCTGCCTTCCCACCAAAGTGGTACTTATTTATCTACTTGCACTTTTACATGCTTTCGAACTGCTAGGTTGGCAGAAGCTGGGACTAATGATGGGAGCTCACTCCGTCATGCGGTGCTTGGGCCTCGAACTGCCAACCTGCTGATCTTGCAGTCACCATACGTTGGGAATGACTTGAAGGCATACAACAACAACAAACATTAGGAAGACCTTCTTAATGGTAAGAGATGTTTGACAGTGGAATGGATAATGTTCAAGATGGTGGGCTTCCCTTAGTTGGAGGTGTCTGAAGAGAGGTTGGAAGGCCACCTGTCAGGAATGCTTTAGCTGTGTATTCCTGCACTCATAAGAAGTTGGACAAGATGGTCCCTGGGTTCCCATTCAAACTGTATGATTCCAAGTAAATGGCTCCTTGGTATCTATTGAAGTTTGCTTCCAGGACCCAGAGATACCAAAATGCTCCAACCACTACACCACGCTGGCAAACACCATGTTATTTCAATAACATTTACAACCACGTTGTTGATAAGGAGAGCCAGTGTGGCATAGTGGTTTGAGCATTGGACTGTGACTCTGGAGAGCAAGGTTCGATTTCCAGCTCAGCCATTAAATCCATTGGGTGACCTTGGGCAAGTCACATGCTTTCAGCCTCAGAGGAAGGCAATGGCAAGCCTCCTCTGAACAAAACTTGCCAAGAAAACTCCATGATAGGGTTGCCTTAGGGTCGCCATAAGTTGGAAATCACTTGAAGGCACACAACAACCAATTTTACTAAGGGCTGAAGCTGATAAAAGTCATCTACACAGGGAAACCTTCTCCATCTTGGTGCACTCCAAATGTGTTGGACTATAACTCCCAGGCAGTCCATCTCATGCTTACCAGGTTCAGGAGGGCTGGCTGAAGAGATGGAGCTAGGAGAGCTGGGAGGAACATCCTATCAGTAGATGTCATACTGATAACACAAGGGGTAATGTTACTTTTAAGCACTTACAGTACAAAAGGGGGAAGATCGCTTTAGAGGTAGATTGGCTCAATCATGGAAGCCATAGCTGCCTTGAATTTGCAAGACCAAAGCAAGGCAGTTAATAACAGGAGCTCTTTGAGATCTTTCATTCATGGGGTCACCATAAGTCAATGCCAACTTGGCAGCACATAACACAGAATCATAGAGTTGAAAGAGACCAGAAGGACCACTCAGTCCAAGCCCCTGCCATGCAGGAATACGCAATGAAAGCAACAACAAGAAGAGAATGAGGCAACCATTTACTGTACTTCAAAACATAACAGGGAGGGCCGTTTGGGTGGATTTGGGTGGATTTGGGAGGTAAAGAGATTGTGTAAGAAGGTATGGATTCCTCCTTGCAGAATGTCCAAAGAAGTATAGTACATACACTAATGTAACACCCCTGTTACACCAGCTTAAGCAACCAGGGGGATTCCAGTCTGGAGGGTTTAGTCCAGAAAACTAATCTTTCCAAGCTGTGACAGTGTAGACTTTTCTATGGATGCTAAACAACTCAGGATGAAAGGAAGGGAAACACAAAAACTGCTGTCCCTCTCACCAAGGCAAAGAAAGAGAAAGAAAAGAAAAGAGGGAAATTTGTTTTTCTTTTTACATTGGTATATATTAGTGTTCTGTTGTACAGAAATTTAAAATTCCAGCAAGCCAGTAATGCTAAATTCAGACAACTGGTGAAACTCACAGCAAAGATTTCCCAGAATAAAAAAAAAAACATCCATGTTGAAGCCATAGTGTCCTAAACCCTCAAGGTCTAAGGAACAAATCAAACCAGTATTGTGTAGTGGTTTGGGTGCTGGATTATGACTCTGGAGATCAGAGTTCAAATCCTGGCTCAGCCATGGAAACC